CGATGTGTCAAAAAAGACACTTATTTAATATCATGTGATTAGTGCGCTAGTTAAAGACCAGTTTTTAACTAGTCCCTTCAGTCCCCAGTCTAGACTGGTTCGGACCACACCCCCTGTGGACCACTTAACATCCCTAATCTTGTAAAATATTTCCACTATGCAAATCACAATGTATTATATCTTGTGAATAAATTAATTTAAGGTTTAATGCAATGTAAGATATTAAATCCAATTTTTTATCCCATTTCATTTTAGCAACATTATAGAGGTCGGAATCGGTTGTAAAATTTAAAACCCGAATTGTTTAAATACAATTATGAAAAAAACCGATTTCGGATTGACTTAAACTGAATTTAATTCGAATCGTCGGATACATATTTAGCCGAAAAGAAAACTTGAAATTACTTTTTTGTTACATTGGATATATTGTTATTTTTCTATCAAATTTCGAAATTACGTGTTAATAAAATAAAACCAAATGCTAGTTTAAAAACCGGTTTGTCGGAGGGTTACAACCGAATTAGAACATTACAAAACTATTTACTATTTAAACCGGTTTAACCCGAAGTTGAAGTTGAAGTTGAATTTCATAATTCGGTTCCGACCTCTACAACATTATAAAGATTTTTGCATTAAGAACCCTTATATGCATGTTGCATAAATATAATACAACTGTATCTTCATTTTTTGTTACTCCGCAATATTATAAAAATGATTGTTATTAAAAATAGATTTGCCTTATTTATAAGATTTTTATAAATATTCTCCGATTTAATAAGATTTTTATAAATATTCTCTGATTTAATAAGATTTTTATAAATATTCTCTGATTTATAAAAAATTTTAAGTGCAACTACAAGTGTTAGTTTAGTATTTTTAATTAAATGTTTCCGCTGAGCAGAATAAACAGTTGCAAATCACCATTTCTATAAATTTTAATTCACTAAATGGAATCCATGGTATCTTCAAATAATGATTTTTCAAGAAAACTGTCAAGATTTTTATAATTAATTTATTTTTGATCTCTATTACTTTTCATTTTTTGCAGCCATTCATTAACTTTTTCACAATTAGATGGTGTCCCAATACCATTTCCATAACACAATCCAACTTCAAACTGTCCTTTGTAATAACCGTTTTCAGCTGATTTCAAAAACCACTCAAAGGCCTTTTTCTCATCTCTAGCTGTGCCTATCTCTTCGTTATAGCAGCTTCCGGAGGTTACGATATAAAAATTTAGAAACTACACCTTCGGCTCTACAACATACCAAAGTAATTCAGTAAATGACGAGGTAATTTGGAAGTTAGATAAGAGGTATGTTTAGGCGTTTAATTTAACCAATATAGTCTATAGTGTATTAAACTTGTAAATTTAATAGTCATTTCAAAAGATTTACAACTCTATCTATTTTATTTATAACTTATTTATTTTTCTAAACAGACACGTACTGCAAGTAAAAATATTAGTGACATGAAGCAATGAAAGCATGAGCTTGCAAACTTTATTATGTACAATTAAACGGCATTAATAAATATGTATTTAATTATTATATAGATTCATATGTCTTGCGAATCATTTCGATTAACCAATGATATTTTTGCAATATCACGAGATAATCTACAAAAATTAGCCAATTACAATGAAAGCCCGCTATGTTGCATAAATGCTTGTACTTTGTAAAAAATAGATAGCACGACAAATATCACGAAATATTTGTATTTTCTAGTCCAAGGGATATTTTTTTTATAAAATACTTTCAAATTTCCATATTCAGCACATCCAGAGACCATAAGTTTACGTTTGTCAAGATTACTAATTTTTTCGGCTGACATCCGGTTTTTCGGTTTTACAATTTCGGGTATTACAGACTTAAGATCCAATAGGCCATAAAAGTGAAGAATATTTAGTGATAAAATTTCAATTAATGTTAATTCACCTTGAATTCGTTGAAAATTTTCAATAGGTTTACGCGCAACTTCAACGATTTCTTTGTAAAGTTTTTTTAACAACAGTACCAAACGAACATCAGGAGTAAGTGAGCAAGTTAATTCATTTGATTAATTCTTTGTGCATGAAAATCCCCAGAAGATTTATCCAATTCGAGTTTTAAATTTGATATTTCTTTAATATATCAAGTTTATTATTTGTTTTTTCCGAAATTCAGGTTAAATAAAATTTTAAATACTAATAATTAAAATATTTAAATAATGAAAATAATGAAATAATTATATATATATATATATATATATCCATAGTTTCACGGTTAAAATCTTAATTTTCTTCAACAATTGATATCGTTAGTTCTTCAAGAGTCTAAACAGATAATATTATTTAACATACAAGGTATATTTCAATAAAAAAGAAGATATTGCATCCTCTTTATACTTGTATCTTTTTTGTTATTTGCATTTTTTTTTTTATTTTTTTCGGAATCAAAAAAAAAAATGAAGAAAATGGTGAATATTTTTATGAACTTGGTCGTAAACAGTTAAAAGACGATAAAAACAAGGCATTCGAATACTTTTTAAAATCTGCTGATATGGAGTATGTTTATGGTATAATTTATGTTGGTTATTATTACTATAATATTATGGAATTGGGATTAAAAAAAATGAATATAAAGCATTCGAATATTTTTTGAAATCTGATGATATGAAAGATAACCATAGAATATATAATATGACCGCTCGATGTTATCGAAATGGAATCGACACACAAAAAAATATTCAAAAAGCTAACCATTGCTATCGAAAATAAAAAAACCTTAAACAAATTAATTTGGCCGATAATTTACCACCTATAGATATCGATAATAATCTTGAAGAAATTTTAAATAACAATAATTACAAATTATCATGGATTAATTATAAAGAATTTAAAGGCATAAAAAAATTGGACAAGGAAGATTTGCAACTGTATATTATGCTACATGGCAAAGAAATGATATTATACATCCGATTGCACTTTAAAGATTCTTCGTGATTCATATAAGAACATTAATAATTTTATTCAGGAATTAACCAATTTTTGCGAAATCAATTATGAAAATCCATCATTTACGGTATATCAAGAGATAAAGAAACAAAAGACTATATTATTTAGATTATGCAGAATTATGTAATAATCTTAAATAAATATCTCAATTAAACTGGAAAGATAAATTAATTCTGATTTATTATATAACTTCAGATTTAGAATCAATTCATTCTCAATGATTCATTCACAAAGACTTTCATAGTGGAAATATTTTACAAACCAATTTATATAATGCTTATATTACGGATCTTGGATTGACAACTTCTACAAAAAAATAATGGATTAATTGGAGTTCTACCTTATGTAGCTCCAGAAATTTTATTAGGTAAAGAATTCTCACAAGCTGCTGATATTTACAGTTTAGGAATAATTATAACTGAAATAACAACTGGACAAAAAGCTTTTGATTGATATGATTTCAATATTGATCTTAAGTATTTGTAATGGATTACGACCAAATATCGCTTCCGGAACCCCCGAATGTTTTATCATACTATTAAAAAAATGTACAAACAAAAATCCTAACAGAAGACCTACAGCAACTAATATTAATCATCTCATTGATTATTGGATAGGTTATTAGATAGATGAGAATGACAACGATTTTAAACCAAATCCTGAACCACCAAAAAATTCAAGTGATATGTATACAAGTAAAATTATCAAAATCTCTAATAATCTAGAAATTCTCAACAATTTAGAAATTTCCGACAATTTAGAAATTATAATTTCTAAATATTATTTTTTTATTATACAACTATGTACTGTACCCATGTGATAACCTTGCTAGTTAGGTAATTCTCCCAACCTTTTTACCAGAATTTTTAATTTTAGTTATTTAATATATTCTTTTTAATAATAAATAATAACAAACATTATATTTATAAATCCTTTTATAAATAAGGGCACCTTAATCAATGGGTCATAAAAGTGTCAGGGGATAAAGTTTTAATTAGCGGAAAATATTTTTAGTGGATAAAGTGTGTTATCATTATAAATAATATGCGTAATTTGCTAAAGTTTATTTATTGCGTAATTAAAAAAAATTGAGATATTGTCATTAATGTTATGCCGTGAACGAAGTCATGAGATCAATGCCCAGATCAGTGATACGCTATGCAAATATGAGATTATGGAAAAAAGGTATATAAGGGAAAAGAAATGTTTTGTGTTATTCATCTTTTGTCTTTGCTGCAAGCTCGACGCAAGTCTAGCATTTCGTTAATCCCGCTCACCCACCCGTTAATGGCAAGATAGGCGGAAAAGTGAAATGCAGAATAATTCTCGAAAAGAGTAGATAGCCTGACTGAACAGGTTGGATACTAAGGAAGAAGTGATGACTAGGTAAAGGTAGGAAAGCTTGATAATTTGACTCAACAGGTTGGATATAAGTGAAAAGGGTGACCAGAAAAAGAGTGGAAAACTTTGATAGCCCGACTGAATATGTTGGATATTAAAGTAAAAGGGGTGATCGGGAAAAACTTAATAGCCCAACTGAACAAGTTGAAAATGATGATCAGAAAGGGTAGGAAAACTTAATGCTTTGATAGCCCAACTGAACAAGTTGGATATCAAAGTGAAAGGGATGATCAGAAAAAGGGTAGGAAAAATTGATAGCTTTGATAGCTCAGCTGAAAAAGTTGGATATCAAAGTGAAAGAGACGCTCAGAAAAATAGTAGGAAACTTTGATAGCCCAACTGAACAAGTTGGATATCAAAGTGAAGAAGATGATCAGAAAAAGGATAGGAAAACTTGATAGCTTTGATAGCCCAACTGAACAAGTTGAATATCAAAGTGAAAGGGATGATCGGAAAAAGATAGGAAAACTCGATAGCCCAAATGAACAAGTTGGATATCAAAAGTAAAGAGATGATCGGAAAGAGAATAGAAAACTTTGATAGCCTGACTGGACAAGTTGGATATCAATTTAAATAGGATGATTGGGAAAAAGGGTAGGAAAACTTGATAATCCGACTGACCAAGTTGGATATCAAGGAAAGTTAGTGAGTCAAAAAAAAAAAAAGAAAAGGGAATAGATAAAGCGATACTAGGAAATGACTGGTGACCATGTGAAGCAGCGAGACGATACTTTAGTATTGCTCTCTGGAGCAATAGAAACAGCTGAAATTAATGTTTTGCAAGTTTGTTTTCGAACTGGTAGCATCTGTCATTCTTACTGGATGATGTTTTTTTACAATGATAAATAATAGCTAAGTATCGATTCAATTTCTATGATTGATTATAACGATCACTAGCAAATACAGAAATAGCATCTTGAGAAAACTTCAATTACATCATAATTTGCATATTTAAAATTTTATTTAATTACGATTATTTACTAATCATAATAAAGGAAATTTATCTTTTGCTTTTTTACTTTTAATTATTCTTACACAAATTAATGGAACTTTTATTGGAATTAATAATATTTGGTCTAATGATTTGACGATTTTTGACAATTGTTTAATAATTTAAAGAATATCGAAACAAAATCTAGAATGTTTTTTTAATTCATTTGAAAATAAAAATTGGTTATTGACATATGGGGTCTGTGCCTTGAAAATGACATTATGGGACTATGTAGATTTTATGAATAAAAATTAAAATTTCTAACTATCTAATAATCCAATTCAAATAAATTTTTTTTTATTTTGTATAACTCACTAAGCTTTACAAAAAAAAAAAAAAAAAATATTTGAATTGGATTATTAGATAGCTAGAAATTTTAATTTCTATTCATAAAATCTACATAGTCCCGTAAGGTCATTTTCAAGGCACAGACCCCCATATCATCAAATATAATAAAATATTAATCGTATAATATTTACTTTATACATGATACGATGAATTAGATTAGTTACTATTTTATTTTAATACGTAAAATTAAATTATCATAATTATTGCTCTTTAAATTATCTTATAGTAAAATGTTTGAAAAATAAACTTAAAAAAAAAATTTTTATATAAACATTTATGTAAATTTAGTTATGCAAATTAGCAACAATACAACGATCTTTATTAGCACTGTCTTTCCAAATATTTACAAATTTAAAATTATATTTCTTTAATTCACCAACAATTCTAGATATTTGATGACTTCCACCAATTTCCATAACCAATTGTGGTACCTTGTTTTTCCAGACTTTTGCAAAATAACTATCTTTTCTTAATAGATATTTAGCTGTTAGGTAAGCTATTCTATTATGAAATATTGTACCATTATTATCAGCAACTAATGCTAATTTATCTTCCCACAATCTAACGTCTTCATCTAATGTTAAATATTCATCATAAGAAATATAAGGTGGATTAGAAACCACTAAATCATATCCATTGCTCTTATGCATAAATTCGCAAATTTGCTCATCAGTAGATTTCATAATATCAAGATGAAAAAATTCCACGTGATTATATAATTTTTTATAAGAACTCATATTTGAAAGATTTAAATTAGCAAGGGAAAGTGCATCATTAGAAATATCTATTCCATTAATATAATATGAATTTGGTGGAAGTGCATTTGAAAGTGACAATGCTATACATCCTGATCCCGTGCATATGTCAATAATTTTAAAGGTAGATTTCGGAGATGTTAATGTGGTGGTTTGTAAAAGAGGTTTCAAGAGAGTTATTAATCGATTGGTCCATTCTTCTGTCTCCCACCTGAAAGTTAATATATTAAAAATTATATATTTCTTAAATTAAAAAACATCTTAATAATAGATACCTGGGAATTAATACTGGGGGTTTTGTGATTATATCCAAATCACAAAATGGTTGAGTTCCTAATAATTACAGTTATGATAGGTATTATTTTACTTATCTATTATTACAAGTGTATTACTTCATTAAATACAAACCAAGTATATACTGTAATGGTTTGGATTTTTCAACTCTTTCTGTGACATATTTGTTTAAAATCCTTTTTTCTTCATTATTTAAATTTTGAATAATTTCATTTGTAGAAATCATTGAAGATTTTAATTTGTTCAAAATAGGACTTTTAGTTTGTTGTAATACATAAAAAGCTAGCCACTTTAATTCTTGTTGTGCTTGGTTCAAATCATTTGTCTTTGTGAGCAGTCGGTGAAGCAAAGCTTGTATCATAGTTTACAAGTAATGTAAGTCGCTGATCAGACTTTTTCAGAGGTCAAATTTCAGTTTGGTTTCTTTTGGTAGCATTTATATACATAATTTTAGGTCATATGATAATTTATTCTTTAATACAGTATATAGCGATAGTGGTTTTACTATGAAATAGATAACGATATAACTTATAATAATGATAAACTAATACAGTATAATCGCTTAAACAGAGAATGTAATCAACTTTGTTTATAAATAATAGTATTGTTAAAAGATAAAATAGCTTAAAAATTTTGCGAATATAAAGTCTTACATAGAGATAATTATGGATGTGTGACTGTATATTGTGAACAGGCGTTTTGGTCACTGGGACCAACCTAACCATACTTTAATCAGAAACTGGACAACCAAAGGACGGTTAATTATCACAATGACTCTTTTACATGATTATGACCTTTGTTTCTCATCGTTATAATCGCATAGCCATTATTCAACTGTTCTCGCCTCGAGATAAACTCAAAATAGTATTTATTAGATGCTACTTCGCATGACGGGATCTTGGGGCTTAGGTTGTATAATTAGTTGTGCAGGGGACTCGACTTGTGTCACGTTCCGATGGTCACGCCACTTTTCCGGGGTCACAATATATAGCCACAACTCCAAAATCACCTGGTTTATGGAAGTTCCGTTAAAAGTATCCAAAAGGTTCTCACTTCCATTTTCATACGCTTTTTGCAACCACTGGATTCCCATAATTTTATTTTTGAATGTTCCTTTTCCGTTCAAATAACATTTGGTCAAAGATACTTTGAGTAACAATCAAAAACTAAAGTTTTATTCTTACTCGTGCCAATTCCCCATTTATAACAATTTCCAAGGTTATTTTGGCCATCGCTGTTTCCATTTGCTGATATCATTCAAATGCCTTTTTGCTATTCGCTGTACATCCTATACATAATAAAAACGATCACCAGGAATTCTTTGACTTAGGGTTTTTACAAAAAGTTTTTCAATATTAAGATAACTCTTTTTTCCTTTTGATGATTCTAGCTAACCTACATAGTTCTATTTGTACCTTTTTATCTTTTACTACTCTATGTATTACTGCCTCCTCTTTATCTACGATACAAATTTTTATATCTCTAATATCTCTACTAGCTACTATACTACTTAACTCTTTATCTCTTTTGCAGGCTGAAACTGGGATTTTTATATGTGAGGCCTCTTTGTTTCTATAAACTTTTCTTAGCACTTGATGCCAACTTTCATTTTTCTGTCTAATTATACAGCTTTAGTCATTGTGCCTTTCTAGATCACAGCTTTTACACTTTTCTAATATAGTATTATCCTTATTATTATCATTAACTATTAATTGTCAGTGCTTTACAATTAATGATTTGAACTCTTTTTTTATTACTTTTTCACTTTCTACTTTTATTCTTTTCTTGAAGATTATCTACTCTTTCTTTCTCTTGTCTGTAGAGACTCTTCTATCTTTGCACCTTATTGCTATTCTATTCAGTACTTCTACCTGATAATTCTCTTTATCTTCCTTGAACTACTATTTTCAAGTACTTTTTCTTCTACACTTTTGTACTAGTTTAGTTTACGTCTTCTACTTTTAAGACCTCTAATATACTTGATTTGTTGCTATGTTAACAAAGTATTCTTTTTGTTATTGATTAGTTGCTCAAGTATAAAGATATTCATGTTATTACTATTTCTGTAGTTGATCACCTCTTTTCTCTCTAGTATAGTTAGTAAGCTAGTACCTCCTATATCTAGTTTATTTTCATATACATTACTTTGTTGAAAGCTAAATTTGAGTTTTTTTATTTAATTTATTATTCTGAATACTAGATTGAACTTGATCTTAATGTCTTCAAGCTTCTTATCACTACTAGTAATATTATCTAAATATATGCTTTTAATTGTACTTCATTTATTCTAAGTTTAGTAGTTACTCCTAATTTGTCTAATCTGTTCATATATATTGTTAGCTTTGTGATATGATGTGCTAACTGGTTTTGCCAAATTATACGCATGTCTAAAATTTTGATATGATTACACATGATATTTGAAGCTGACTTTGCTAAACTCATCTTGTTTTTAATTAATGTCTAAATAGGTCTTTGTATATGTCTACATGTGTTTTTTAAGAGAAATAAGGTTTGAAGTCTATACTCAATACTTGGTAATAAAATACTATTATTCAAATAGACTAGCTAGCTAACTGAGGCTTTTTTCTACTATATTGCTTTACATATTCTTGCTACCTTCTTTATAATTATTAGTTCGTTACATTCTTTTCTACTTTTTTCTAAAATCTAGATTCTAAGGTGTCTAATTGCTTCTTTCTCTTTTTTTGCTCATACTATTTCTTTAAATTTGCCTAATCTAATTTCTGATATGTTATCTTGCTTTTTGTTTTTGACTTTGTGATTTAATACTAAGAGCTCTGATTTCTTACTATTTATTTCAATATCATTAAGCTCATAAAACTCAGTTGAGATATCAATTATTTTTTGCATTTCTTCTTTAGATTTAGCTATTCATATTGTATCATCTGCATATGCTAAAACACTTTGTTGCCAGCATAATACTTGAGTTTTATTCATTCTTAAGTCTTGAGGCTAATTTGAGTTAATAACATATTCTAAGTTTTTTTCTTTATATATTAAGTATAGTAATAGATCATAGAATATACACTATATTAAAAGTGATACTACTTCTCCTTAATCTAATCATCCTCTGCTTCGAATTTATTAGTTTGTCTATACTCAGTGATCACTTTAATTTTCTTTTTGTTATATAAGCTAAGAAAAAATTTTATTATCAATTTTGGTAACTTGATTCTTTTTAGTACTTTTTTCATTATTTTGAGACTTACTGAATTGAATACTTTCTTCATATTCTGAAACAAAATCTAGACTTCTTTGTTTTTTTGTCTTGTATCTTCTAAGATATTGTTCATAATATATATAGAACTTGCTATGTTATCTCCTAACAGACCTATATAGTTAGGGCCTTCCAGTACTTTATGTGTTACAAATATTTAGTTTAATCTTTTACTAATTATTCTTACTACTGTTTTTTAGAAAGCTTCTAGTAAAACAATTAGCTAAACATTTGCTAGATTATAATTCTACTCTTCATTTTTTAGAATTAGATACAGTTGATCTAACTTCTATTTGAGTAGAATATCTCCTATAGCTATATACTGGTTTACTAGTATTATAAAAACTTTTTGTGCTAGTTTTCCTGCTTTCTTGATTAGTAGATAGCTAATATCAGAATCTCCTGGTGCAGACTTGTTTTTGGTTTTGCTGAAAGCATTCCTCTATTCCTCTTCTGTTATTGTATTAAGTAAACTATTATATATTTTTCTGTTTAACTTCTTTATAGGACTATATACTTTAATTCATCTTGTAAAGGAGAATTCTTGGTTTGTGATTTATTTTCAGAACTACTTCATAAAGTGTGTTTTTACTTTGTTTTTTACTTCTTTTTCTTCTATAAGCAACACCCTCTTATTTCCTATAACTTTTATCACTCTATTGATCTTGATCTTTTTGGAAGATCTCTTGAGTAAACTATTAAGTATATACTTTAATTTATCTTGAATTGCTTCGCAATGAGTATCTATACATATATTAATATCTAATTACTCTTTTTTTTTTTTTCTTATTATACTTTTATGTTAAGAAGCTTCTACTATACTTTTAGTTCTTCTTTTCTTTTCCTTATCTATTG